CAGCTCTAGGCAACATCACAGATTAACAAATTATGCATTCTTCATGAACCAGGAACTGAACTGTTTTGTTTTTTTTTCTCTGTCAAAAAAAAAAAAAAAAGTGCTGACACCCCCCACCCTCTGCATAACCACATTTGTTCAAATTAGTAACCTGAATAAGGCTCTGGAAGTTTTTCATTAGAAAATGAACCTTTTTGTTGAATAGCACAGGCACACTTACTTCAATATCAATGACCAGGTGACACATGTCTTGTATGTCATTAAGGAAAGCTTAGCTGGTAAGAACAGTGAACAGAAACCCATGGAATCAGCAAAACACAAATGCAGTACTTGAATCTGTATTTTAAAACAATAAGACACAGTAAGGGTGTGAATTGTATTTCACTTCATGCAGAACAGTCAGTGCAGTGTCCTATGATAAAGACAGCAACAGAAATCGGGGAGCTTGAACTACTTAAAAACAATATAAGGGAGGATGCTATGCTCTTCTGCTTTAAAGAAAAGTAACATGTTTTAGGCGGTGATGATAATTAGCTAAGATGCCTTTTACTGTCTCTATTACATTGGTTTTAACTCTAGGGACTCTCAGAAATTTATGAAGTGATTCCAGACTGACAGAGTTGTAGTAGAGCAAAATTTGGTCCACTAAGCTTTGGCTCCAAATTTTAAAAAATACATTAGTTTTTTGCAAAACCACAAGTTTAACCACAGGTCAGTTCCCTGCTATCATTCCAAACCAACTGAAATCAGAGTGCAGTAGGTGCTGCAGGGAAGTGCCATGCATTTTGCTGAACTAAGGTGCAAGAAATGAAAAATAGCAGGGTTTAAACATTAACTGAATTGTAATGAGCACTTCGGCCATAATTCAGAAAATCTTGTAGCCATGTTTGTTATCTTTAAGCATGCCAATAGCTCCATCTACTTCCACTGGAGTATTAGTATATTTAAAGATAAGCATATGCTAAGTATTTTGCTGAATAAGGGCTTTTGAGATGATAGTGATGAGTGCTTTAGAAACACCTAACAGTCTTAGGTATTTTTACCTGTTTTATTTTTGCAGTCTCATGGGTATACTGATATTAGGAAGCAACTGTATCAAAGTCCAGGCTACACACATAGCATGTCTACACGTGCATTTACACCAGCTTAAATTTACTGTGCAGTAAATTACTGAGCATTAAGTGGGAATAGGTCAGCATCTACACATGCAGGCGTTAAAGCACATTAATGCTGTGTGTGGACTGACTTGGAACTAAAGTTAGCCCCAAGTCAGTCCACACACACAGGGTTAGTGCGCAGTAAGATCTCTACATGTGCATTACTGTGCAGTAATTCATTGGGCATAAATTTGATACCTGCATAATGCAGGTATCAAATTTACACTCAAGTTGGTCTAAGTTGCCATATTTACTGCACAGTATGGGTATGCACATATAGACATGCACCTGTACTGTGCAGTAGTTTTGGTTACTGTGCAGTAAATGTGCACATGTAGCTGCACCCACTGAGATGAATATTCCAAGACATTATTCCCAACCAGAACTTTTAATTGTTCCAACAACAGTCTTACATTTTGGGGCACAATACCTTAGGGTGTCACCTTTTCTTTATCTCAATAAATGAACATGTTCAGCTAGTGGTTAAAGTAGATTTTCCAAAAAGAAAAAAAGGAGGATATGAAATTTGTCAGTCATCCTGCTATCAAGGGTGCATTGCTGCAGCCGAGCTCCTACCCAACAGTTCAAGAAATAGGTTTCCCCCACTTCCCCACCCCAAAATCTATGTTTCATCAGAAATTACAGCCAGAGCATTGCTAGATTCCTGAAAAAAGTCCAAACAATTACCATTATTTTTGTCTTATTTTTAAAACCCTACAGTGTTTAAAAAAAGGATTTATCATTTTACTGTTTCAGTTCTCTGATCATAAACAAATGGAAACATCAAGTTTATGGCAGTGAGTCAAGCTTGAAAATACTATTATGTGCATGATGGATCAGAGTTAATTTCTTTTTCTTAAACCCCTTTTATCCAGCTGTAAACTTTTGCCCAACCCTCCATAATTTGTGGAGGATTTTGAATTATTCTACAAAATCACATTAAAAAGGTAGAGTTAGTTATGTGAGATATTAACTGATTTGTATTTAATAGATTTTAATCCATAAAAATATAAATAAAGAATGGTAAAATTTCAAGAAAAAAATATACATTTAGTGCAAGTTATGATTTACATTTCTTACTTCCAGTCAGTAGTAAAACATGTTTTTGTGGGAAAGGAAAAAATAAGATGACTGATTTTTAATTTTATGGAAAAAATCTCCAGTGTTTCAGCATGCAATTGTTATCAGATACACTTATACAGAATTGCTTCTGCTCTTAACTATCAGAGTAGCAGTATTTTCTTTATACTGCACAACATTGGTATATATCATAGTGTTTTCAATAATACAAAAATTGCATAAGACCAGGTCACATTATTGATATATTCTGCAGCAAAAACATTATTTTTCCTTTGAAACTCAAGTTTTCTCTGTGTTTAATTTTTCTCAAATCACAGCACACTGGCTGCAACATTTCACACATGCTTCTTATAAAGTATTACCTACTCAATCTGCTTTATGCAGGGGATCTGTACTGCCCCAATGATTTCATGATGTACAAACTACACGTTTAATGGCACAAGAAAATCTCCCTTCTTGTGATCAAACCTCAGTAAATCACAGCACATCTCAATATGAGAAACTACTGCTTCAAAAGGGCACACCAGTTTTAAAGAGGCTTCATTAATGGCTCAGGAGAGAGAGAAATAAAAGCTCTTCTGGAATGTAGAAAGGTGACGTAATAATTATACATTAATGAGTTAACACAACAGTTTTCAATGGTAAAATGGGCAAGACTTTGCAGTCTCCAAAAGATGGCTCAATTCAAAATGATCCCTCCAGAAACAGGGACTAATAATGCATCTCTTCAATGCTGAAGTAACAGGTTAAGGTTTGGAGAATTCCACTTTCAGATACAGCTTTCCCACTGCACTATCATGGCAGATCGCACATCAGGGAACGCATCCAGTGCAGGACAGCAGAAGTTCTCTTTCCCCATGCTTCGGTGGAGAACGCCACTAACTCTCCACACTTCCCCAGACCAATCCTGAATTCCAACAGCATTATTATGCAAACACTCAGCTCTCATTTCTGATTTTAGTAGAATCTCTCAGACTAAAGTGTTGTGCTATTCAACAAATGAACCTCCTCTTCAGTTTCCTCTCTCTCCTCAGCTATGGGTTTCAGTTGAACATTATTGAGGCGGGGTCTTGGTTTGCCGTCTGGGCCATATGACGGAGGATATCTTTTTTTGTTACAATGCCAAGGAGGCGCCTGTGAAGGAAGAATAGAAGAGAGCTATTAAACTACAAGGAAAAAGAGAAGAACAGAACACATCTGTAGCCAAGTCCTTTTTGTTGACAGGAATGGAGGAAAGTAAGTATCTTGATTTTCTTATTTAAACAGAAACATTTGATTAATAGAGTAACCATCCGGTTGTTAAAAAACAGCAGTGCTGAGACACCAGATCAGATGGTCACTAAACTGCACTCCATTTTTACTTATATACAAGTAATACTAGCAGAGACCATGCCCATTTGTATTTAATTTTTGTTTGTTTCTACAAAATGAAACTTTGATTAACATATGCCAACAAAAAAGTAATAAAGGACAAAGAAAAAAAAGGTGTGAAAAGGAAGTGATATTGATCCCGTTTCATAAAGAAAATATGTCTGAATCCAGCCATCAAGTGACAAATTGGTTGATGGCTCCAAATGGTAATACCAAATCAAAATCCCTCTTTTTTAAATAGAAAGGATCTTTCTAGTCTACTATATTGTCTTGGGTTGGGTGGCTGTGTTCATAAGAGCACAAACAGCTGAGAACAGATCTTAATCAGTAGTTACTTGTGTCTTGAAAGTCAGAACTTTGGAAATTAACTACTAGTTTTAAAAGAATGCATACATTTTCAATTTTGAATACTGTGCTCTTATGAAATGATCTTAATAGCTTTAAAACAACTGTGAAATATTAGAGTGAAGCTGTCTTAAAGGATAATATCACAGGAGAAGCAGAAAGCAGAAGGAATGAGCTGCTGCCCTTGTTATTCTTGTTAGTACATTTTGTTCTGTTTTATTAAAGGAGGCATGAAATACTTGTGAAATATTAGCATAAAAATGTGAATGCAATAATATGTTTTGTACAGAAGCAACTAAGCTTGGAGGGCAGGTTTAGTACAGATGCAGAGCAACCAGTGTCCAAATTAAGACAATTTCTAAGTTACAACTAAAGTTAGATCACAACATCTTAGTTTACCAGTATCTAGCTTACAAAGTCAGTAGTAGAAATATTATAAGCCATTTAGTGGCTCAGGATGTAAGTAGGAGCTTATAAAGGGACACACTGATGGCTACATATACAAGTGACAGAACTGCAGCACATAAAATTCAGAACAAAAAATAAAAGGACTGCTCTTTAGGAGCATGCAGATACATGGGATACCAGAGGGGAAGGTCTATGCTGCCATAAATTCAAATCACATTCTGGTTTGGTTGTCAGAAGATTAAAGGAAGATTTTTGGCTTGATTGGCAGCTATTTAAAGCTACCAAAATCAGAACAAGGAATATACTGGTTGATACAAAAACTTCTAAATTTGTTATCAAGAAGAGAAAGACATATTCCTAGCTGGCCATTTCTCCTCTAACAAAATAATCACAAGTGGATTTGCCCTCCTTTGGAAAACATCTTAGCTTTTTATCATTTCCTTTTAATGTTGTGATTAACAGTGAAGCTGGTAAAAAGCTAGTATAGCAGTATAACTGTTTTTACAGCTTTATTTCTACAAATGAGTGATACAGTTTTGTATTACAGTCTCTTTAATACAATGATTGCATTTGTTGCATAGAAAGATTTTGTTGTTCAGCTGATGTCATGATAAGAGAACACTGAACAGTTCACAAGTTTCATGCTTCCTGACTTCTAGCGTGTCTAATTATGAGATCTGATATGTCTAATCACCAAGGGTTCGACGTGCTGCTTTAGTTGCTCGAGATGCTCTAATATGTTCTTCTTTGTGATGATCCCCAAGACAATCCTGAAACAGATCATGTTATGCTAATAACTGTGTGAAATCAAATAAAAAAAAAGTTCCAATCATAACGAAAAAGGTTTAGAATAGAACAAAATGAAAAAACATGGGTTGCAAGAATGCTAATAATGAAATAGTTAAATTAAAAATGAATTGAGTCAGCGCCCTTTCAGACAGAGTGACAGTTTGCTTTTTACATGCCACAAAACTGTTTTCATCTCAGAGAAATCTATTCAGAGCTTGAGTATGGATACTGGAGTAAGTTTACCACCATCTTATTCACCCTCCTGAATATCAGTCTGTGCTTATTTAAGTATTGAAAAGTAAAGCAAGGAAACTGAAATTTAATTCACTTTCCTTCTTGAAGTACACAGCTCTAATCTCATGTAAATCTTGAGTACTTTTAAAATTTGAACCTGCTACAGTAGATGCTCTGGGCCAAAATTTCAGAAAGTCAGAGCAGTTAGAAGTTTGAAGGTACACTTTATATCAAAATCATTTGGGGCCCTAGACAGTGGATCTGATTCTCCACTCCCCCTGGAATATATCAGGAGCAATCCACTGAATTACAACTCTGGTATAAATTAGCGAAAACTGAGGCTCACTCTCTTTCTACATCTCAAGTTAATGCAAGCTTCCTCTTCTAAGTTTGTAAAGCACTGTTGGTACACAAACTAGTTTTAATGAAACTAAACATTGGCCTTTCAGCACATATTTAATTTTCTGTTACTAGTGTTCCTTTTGCCAAAATTTAGCTTACCATAGCACTTCCTGCCTATATGTAAATTTGCAACTCATTATTACCTGACGTATCATCACTTAGATTTAAAGCTGGACATATGTGGTAATGGAGAGTAAGCTTATGACATACCACAAGATTACAGCTAAAGCTGGAGAACAAAAACCAGTTAGCTACAAAACAGCAGATTAATGAAATAACCTTTGTTTTCCTTCTACTTTACTATGAAAGAAATTCCCTTAAAATCACCATAGGGTTTGATTTTATTTTTGAACAGTTAAGCTTTCGTTGTAGTTAACAGTTACATCTTAATACTCCTGCATTTGAGCACTGAAGCAGAGGCTAAGGATGCTATTTTATTGTAGTAGTTAGCTTGACATAAATATTCTTGTCTAACAGCTTAGTATTGCAGATTTTGTTCCCCATTTTGGTTTCAGGAATATAACTGCAGCTATACGCTGACTCATACTTGATAGACCATAGACCATAAGTCTCTTGCCCTGAGAAAGCATTTTAGGATATTCCTTAAACTTCAGAAAGCCTCCACCATCTGTTTAGTACATGGCTGCGTTCAAGGACAAGTTTGAGGCACAATTAACAAGGCATTTGTTTTACAGATTTTACCACACAAGTATATATATCAACCTGGAAATCAGTTTGCTTTAACTGAATAGCTTCCACCTTATTGCAGTAGGCTTTTCACATAAACAGTTTCAAACATTTCAGTTCTCTAGTTTTAACTTCCATAGTCATTCACCCTAAACAGCATGAATTACTAAGGAAAGCTAATATATACTAGAGGGACAGTATGTTAGACTGCTACAATTAATTATACTTTACATATATCACACAGAAGGTATATGAAGTAGTGTTTAGTAAGGGAACAAGTGTTCATGAAGTTGCCTTATAAAAAGGTATAGTTTAGAGGCAACTACAATGAGCTATTTATTATTCCTTTACCAGTGCCAAAGATGGTCTTAATTTATTTAGCTAGAAAAATACACCAGGATGCCAAATCCCCAGATTCTCATTTATGTAGATTATCAATCCTAAAACAACATTTTAAAAGGATGCCTTGACATTTTTTTTAAAGGGGGTTCTGGCTTCAACTTTCAGAAGCAGCCGATAGCTGTGCAGCTTCTGGTAGACCCAGACAATAGATCCAAGGTTTTGAAACCCCATAACTACAGTCTGGAAATGGAGATCAGTGGGCAAATTTTCTCCTGCTAGTATGGAAGCCCTTTTCTCCCACAGGCATTTGCAGAACAAAAGTCTATGCCAAAGCACTGGACACACAAGCAGTGCATAAATACAAACAGAGAATCTGGTCCTTCTGTCTTGTTCCACAGACTGTTTTTGCTTGACAAACTGTTTTTTGTAGATGCCCGAGAGCCATGCATTCAAGATTGTGAGCACAAAGTGAGGGACCATTAAAAAAAAAGCTATGAATGAGTGGGACCGACTGCTCATTTTCTTGGGATTTTGGGATAAAGTGTAACAAAAGAGAGAGAGCATAGACCTGAGTTGGCTGAAAAGCATGGCCTTGGCTTACAATGCTGAAGGAATTTGTTCAAATCCTGCAGAAGCCCTTGCTCTCAGAAATGAAAAATATAGCATGGTTGGCGTAGATGATCATTAACAGCCCCCTTTTGGTCTTAAAAAACAGTTAAAAAATACCCTGGGATGTCAACCTATGATCCTTTTGTATTTTCTGTAAAACAAAGGACAGTGGATTTGGACTGGTAGCACTGATGGAGGAGAACATAAGCATGGGAAAATGAATGAGTAAAAAATTATTACTTATTGGTGCACAAGAGAAACAGGGGGCTGTAGCTCAGGCCAAAACTTTAATTACAGTAAGCTAAGTATTCCTGCACCCTGCATCAGAATGAAACCAGTGAGAATAAAAGCAGCAGGCTAGTACCATGCTTCATCTATTAGTTAAAGTTTACAATAGAAACTGCTGTATAAAGATAAACATCACAGGCTGTTTCACCTTTTAAGTATGATTTTCCTCTCTGCAGTCCATTTTTTAACTGGATGCAAATTGATAATATCGGAATTAGGGGCAGAGACAGAGGGAGAGAGAAGTTAGCTGAGCTTTCCCCTTGCATAGGCAGGTGATATGAGTGGCCAGTGTTAATTTATCAAATTACATCATTCTGATAGAATATATTGTTTCAAAGTTGTTCCTGCTGGAGCAGAACATGCAGCCAATTACCTGGCTGGCTTTTCCAACTTCAGTTAGCAAGTAAAATTCACCAGCTAAGTTCTAACTCAGCAGCCAGCTGTCCCTTGCTAAGGTCAGGCTATAACAAAGTCATTAACTTGCTACACTATAAACACACAGGGATCAAGTTTAAGGTGTCAGCATCATATTAGTCACCAGCAGTACACCTGACAAAATGAAAAGCATTTCTGCCCCTGTACTCACCCATTGTGTGTTACAAGGCACTGCCTCAGACCCAGCTTGCGAAAAATATCCACCACTATCTCCATTGGTGTGTGGTCTGTCACGGTGAAAGGGCTCATATCAAGAATGCTTCGAAGCTTCAAAGGCCGAGGACTCTCTGCTGGAAGTGATGGGGTATGTTGGGCAAAACAGACTCTGGAACTGCCAACAATACCTTCTTGCTTCTTTCTAGCACTTTCTTTAATACAAGGAGAATAAAAAAAGTTAATACAGAAGGAAGAATGCACATTCTTGGTGAATATAGTTAGGTGAAACCTGCAAATTTAGGTGAAACCTATGAATTCCACTCAAGTCTTCAGATTTCAACACGTTTTATCCTATGGACTCTACTCCGATTGGTGTTTTTCAGTCATTTTTCTCTCCAACAAGATGCACTATGCAGAGACTAGCAGATGTGACATCTACCATACAACTCCAGCTGTACCCTGTTGTTAGTGGGACCTAGTAAAGGTTTCAGATATATGTTCCAGCATGCAGTGGAATGCATCTTTTTTTTCTACCAGTTATGGAATTTGCACGCTACTTAATAATGTTGTAAGCAGTGGACAGCTGCTATCCGAGTGCAGTGCACAGGCAGGCTTCTTAAAGAGAGGAAGGACTGCCTCAGGACTGTGCTCTATATGCAACTGTCTTATGGATGCCACATCCTGCTGCTACTGAAGCCAAAGCATGTTATTTTGAGCATGTCAGGGGGCACTGAATGAGGTAACCATGTGACAAATGTGAAAGGTTAACTACAGTATGTCAAGAAAGTGCTCAATGCCTTTCAGCACAAATAGCCTCTGTCAAATGAGTACTGAGACTGAAGTGGGGAGATCATATCAAATGGGAAAAGCAGCTTCCTTTTCTGAAATTCCTTGATACAGCTTGCAAAAACCATTAAAATGCACGTGGTACATAGGTCCAGTCTGATGCACACACTACATGTGGCATGCAGGACCGGACTGACGCGCACTCTGCATTTGGTGCCTGCCTCATACTGGACCCGTGTTCCAGATCCGGCACACAGGGCCAGTCAGTAAGATCAAATGCAGCACACAGACTGTCCCTGCGCCACTCGTCTGACTCACAGGGCCTGATGAGTTTGATATCTCTGATTTACAACAAAGAAAAAGCACATCTAACATGGAGGAAGAATATATCAGGCTACTGTACTGAATAAATGTTTATAAAGAGTCCAGTCTTATGCAGTAACCAGCCTGCAATTGTGCCATTGCTGCCATCTAATTGTTAGTTATACCAGACTCTTGATCAGCAGCTGCTCAGAAAGTTGGGTTTTTTTGCACTTGTATTTATTTAAATCCTGTGTTTGAATCAGATTTTTCTTTCCTGGTCAGCCTTCAATCGTTTCTGGACATAAGCAGCCTCGCCACACCCCAAAGTAAATTCTCTCAATATACAGTCCCAAGTCAAGACCAGTAATTTCACTTTGCAACTTAAAAGAGTAAGACGAGATTTACCTGAAAGAGACCATTATCAACATATAGCTCTTTGCTTACAATCTAATATTATGTGAAAATGTGAATGAAATTCACAATAGTTTGATATTTATATTTTGAAACTTATTTGACTCCCGCCTGCATGTCATACATAATACAAGACTAGGCAGAACGTTTTATCTTAATGACAGTCTTCTTTCTGACAATTTTTTTTTGCTTCAATCTGACCCGAACATTCAAAAATGCACACTTGAAATCAGTGTATTTAAGACAGGGGCAAGCAATTATTTTGGGCGGACGGCCACTTACCCAGTTTTGGCAGGCTGTCAAGGGATGCATGGGTAGCCCTGCCCCTTGACAGGTGCCCGGCCCCCTGGTCACTGTCTTGGGACCATTGCCCCAGGGCCAGCACCGGTGGGGCCCAAAGCAGGGCACAGGCCGGCAGGGGTCTGTGGAGCTGGGCTGGGCTGCACCAGCAGGGAGCGGGGAGCTGGCCCGGCTCCATAGAGTCCCTGCCAGCTAGGACCCCATGCTCCTGCCACCCTGCTCTGGGCCCCATCGGCACTGGCTCTGGGACACCAGTGCGGGCCCCGTGCTCCCACTGGCTCCCTGCCTGCTCATACCCAGTGCCCCCCAGCCCCACGGTACAGGCGGGTGGCAGCGCACAGCCCCAACCCCCTGCTCACCAGCAGGGAAGAAGCTGGTGCTGAGCGTGGGGAAAAGCAGCCCCTTGCCTGCCCCATGGCCGGTGCCCCACACAGCAGGCACTCACAGCCTGTGCGGGGCTGTCCGGAGCAGGCACAGGCAGCCTCATGCAGGCTGCAGATGGCTGCAGCATGGGGTGCTGGCCATGGTGTGGGTGAGGGGCCGCTTTTCCCCACGCTCAACACCTGCTTGTAACCAGCCCCACTGCCAGCCTGGCAGTGTGGCTGAGTTACAAGCTGGTGCTGAGCGCAGGGGGCAGGGGGGATTGAGGAGAAAGCAGCCCCTCCCCACCCCATGCCCAGCACCCCACACTGCAGCCGCTCGCAGCCTGCCTGGGGCTGCCTGTGCCTGCTCTGGACAGCCCCACATGGGCTGCAAGTGCCTGCAGTGCAGGGCGCTGGGCATGGGGTGTGTGAGGGGCTGCTTTTCTCTGTGCAGGGAAGGAGCCCAGAAAAAAGCTGAGTGTAGGGGG